GGAGGTAGAGCTGGCCCCGGAGGCCGGCCCCAAAACGGCATTCACAATCGGACAGGGACTGTGGCAGTTCCGGGTGATGCCGTTTGGGCTCTGCAGTGCTCCGGTCACATTTGAAAAACTGATGGAGCGGGTCCTCAAAGACATCCCCCGTACCCGCTGCGTAGTGTACCTCAACGACCTGCTGGTGCACGCAAGGGGCTTCATGCAGGCCCTGGATAACCTGCGTGAGGTTTTAACCTCCATCAGAGATGCTGGACTTCGCTTAAACCCAGCCAAGTGTCACCTGCTGGCGTGGCAGACCAAGTTCCTGGGACATGTGGTCAGCCAGAGAAGTGGCACACAGCTGGATAGTTAGATGTCACAGTTTAGGATAGGGTCAGGCCAGCTCCGCTCATCCGAACCAGCGGAGCGCCACAATATAATGTATTAGCTAATGCCGTGTTAAACAGCCTATGGGAATGGAATTAAAGCTAGTCTGTAGGCAAGCTAGCTAACCGTTAGCGTTTTACTCAACTTTTGTCCTAATGTTTTACACTAAACATTAGGACTGTGTAAATTAAATCTGGACATATGAGGACATTCAGTGGAGTGTAGGGTGAAAGCTTTTCACCAACAGTTTAACGTTGGATATTAAGGCGTTCAATAACCTTTTAAAGACTTAATCGACCATTGCTAGATTTGTCGTACATTGCAAAAGAAACCTTCCCTCATGTTGCCAAGGCGGCATTTCATACCCACAACATAGCCCCGGTCGGTGAGCATTTGAAGTAACACTCACCCAATCTCTAAAGATATTTCCTGAATCCTTGTAAACTCTTCCTAGGACACGGAATCAAAAAATAATTCGGTTCAGTCCATGAAAAATATATATCTTTTTAGCTTCTCGGCTCATAAGAGTTTCTTTTCGGATAAGCAAAGACAGCGACGGGAAATGACGTCGTCACTCTAGCTTTGTTTGAAGAGGCTCGAATTCATGAATGTATTATTTAAACAATTTCAATAATAATTCCACTCAATTTTCAATAATACATTCGATAGCACGACACCAATAATAATATAGGTTTCAATAATACATTCATGCACAATTTTTGATTCCGTATGGTTAGAAGAGTCTGTGTGGATTTGGGAAATACTTTTAGAATCTGTGTGAGTGTTAGGATATGACGGTACAGTGTTAAAACGCTCGGCAAGTTTCAATTTCGAACTCATATTAGATGACAGTAAGGTCTAGACCTTACTTTGTAAAGTGTCCTGAGATGATTTTGTTGTGATTTGGCGCTATACAAATAAAATTTGATTTGATTTGATGACCTCTATGATTCCAGTGTATGCAACACACGAGAATCACAAGCTGGTGCAAGGCTACACCGTTCATGTCCTGTAACATCCAAGCTGCACCAAACTGTAAGGCAGAGGCCACGGATCCAGAAAGTTCAGATTCATTTCGATGCGTGTGCATAACTGAAAGGCGCCCACCACTCTCCCTCATAAACAGGTATTAACATTCTTCTTCTAATGGTGCGTCCGGTTCGCGTGAGCGCTGCAGCAGTCTTAGGCCCACCCCAAATGGTCTCATTGGACGAGACGCGTGATGACGCCCATCAACATCCCACCCCCCCTGTGACTCATGGTTTGTCTGTATGTGTATTCAGAGCCAGTGAGCCACGGACTTTCAAAAGAATAATAATAATAATAAACAAAACTGCGTTAAGTGCGCGATAAAATAATTGTCGGCATTAATTAAGTAATGTGTTAACGCGAAAATGACACATTATCTTGTCCAGCCCCTGTATATACATCACCCGACTACATCATATATGTACTGTATATATACATGGATATACACGCACACACACACACACACACACACATATATAAATATGAGGAAAAGAATTCAGTTTGAGCAATATAAGTAATTTTCAGTTTAGCCATACACAACACCCACTTTTAGTGACTTCATTAGGATGACT